AGCCAGGAGTCAGCTGCTGAGAGGGCCTGTGCCGCAGGTGCCCCAACCAGAGACAACAAGGTGGAGGGGACCTGACCCGAGGTGGCTGCCACCGTGTCATTCTTCTTTCCTCCTCCTTCCCTTCTCTTTTCTCTTCTCTTGCAAGCTCTTCAGGTCTGTCATCACACTCAAAGTCTTATGCACCCACATGATCTAAAATAATTGTTTTGAGAGATGTTAGGAATCGGAAAACACCCACGTGGAGAAAACCAAAACTTACAAGTCCGCAGCATACGTACCACGATGATCATGGCATTGAACAGCAGTGGTGCCGAAAATACTAAGGAAATGAACATCCCCCTGGAGTCAAAATATTGGTATTTTGAAAATAATCTGTTTTAAGAAAAAAAAAACAAAGATTAGCATAGCAATGATAAAAAAGTTTTTGGTGACTTGACTTTCGGAGAGACCTTGGTGAATTAAGGTGGAACTACCCCACAACCACCACTGAGCCCACCCTTCACATTGTTTATCTCCACTTTGTCACCCAAAACATGATGCTGTTTATGATGAATACACCAGGTCACAGGATCAAGAAAGAAGGGGACTGTGGTGCAGGGAGGAGGGTGGAAGGAATGGCAGTGAACCTAAGGGTAGCAAGACCTTGTCCCCAGGTGCTCTGGGTCAACAGCAGATTTGATATCAATTGTGAGAAGCTAATGACTTGAAATTCTCAAATAATAAAATAATAACCGCTGTGTCCACTCTACAGCTGCTCTAAGGAAGGAACTGTGCAGGGTACTTCCATTGTNTGAGTTGTCTTGAATTTCTGGCCCATGCTGGAATGTGAAACTGTCAACCATGGCAACACTTGTGATGAGTGTTGGCTAATCTTTTATTCCCTGCACACACACTGAGAATATTTTGACTTACATTACTTAAAATATATTGTGCACCCACATGCAGCTGCTATTGTACAGAATACTGGAAAGCACAATCTGCAAGGAATTCAAAGGCCTGTGAGCTGCCTTTCAGATCGAAAATTGTTCTTTTTAGAGAGACATGAGGGTGTACAAAGAAGAAAGGGAAATTATGATTATCCAATAGCTACTGATGCAATCACGTTATGTTACCTATGTAATTTCTTTTGAGATCATAGCACTTGTGAAATAAGGGCTTTCACATCATTTTAACTTTTAGTCTATTTTCTTACTATATTAAAGGAATTGGCTCTGTGTCATATAGATCAGGATTCCAAAACCACCCCAGGAGCAGCAGAACTCAAAGGTACATGTGCTAGCTCCTTCTGGCCTTCTGCCACTTGCATATATAAGCAAGACTTGGCTAGTGCTTGGCTTGGATAGCACAGCAAGCCTCAATCAATAGAGATGGAAGGCTGGACATAGCAAAAGAAAAGCCAGGTAGGTCCAACATGAGGGCTTGGAGCAAGGCAGGACATCCTACGTGGCAGGGCACATAAACCAGGGCCCAGATTGGATGGGGTGTCCCATGAAAGAAGGAGCCTTGAAGATGGACTTGGTCTGACTCATTTACCTGTGTAAGGATTTTGGATTTCAGCTTTAACTAAAAGGACTAAAAATAGCTGCAGCTGCCTGCTCTAATTTATCACTGTTTTGTCTTTAAAGGTCTATTCTCAATCTGGTGAGAGCTTTTTCAACCTTTTTCAAAGTCCATTACTTGAGCCACATCTCCCCTGGCTATCCTTTCCAGCTCTGGACTCTGAATTTTATTGGGTGACTGGTTTTTCTGTCACCCAGGCTTGCTCTGTGGATAACTGAAAGGCGGACTAGCCCAGGCCCTTTAGTTCAGGGAACATTTCCGGGACTTTAATTACCTGGGATTTAGCTTCATCAAAGGCATGTTTTGATCCATCAACCCATTGTCCTAGACCTACCCTTCCGGTTCCTGTAAGTTACCTTTGGGCAAAATAAAGATAACATTTATTAATTTTTCTGTTTTAAACAATTGGGAAAAGATGACCAAACCTTTGAGGGGAAGAAATGCTCCCTGACCTATTTAATCCATTTCCTCGTGAGTTATAATTCCTGGTAGTATTATTTTTAATGTGGTAGCATTTTTTTGCTATAATATTCCATAAATCTTTCTGCTCTTAACCCTGTTGACCCAATAATTTCTGCTTTTATTTTATTTTATTTTATTTTACCCTTCACCCAGTTTTTTTAATGTTAACATCTTACACTACCATTTTACATTTGTCAAAACTAAGAAACCAACATTGGCACATTACTATTAACTAAACTTGACACTTTATTCAGATTTCAGTTTCCTGTTCTGGATAAATACAATACATCACATTACAATTACATTTTATTTTTATTTTGGGGAGTGGCTGGTGGGTAAGGGGATCTGAATCACATTACATTTAGAACAATGCTTTTAAATTAGCATTAACAATCAACCTTATTAAATAATTAATTAGGGACTCCATTGTCAAAACCTAAATGTGCCTTTCTAAAACACTTGAGAAGTCTGGAAAATGATTTATTCTCTTACATAGTTTTTATGCAAACTTTTGAGCTATTAGCATAGTGAAATTTTAAAAAATTTATTATTTTTTGATTGTGGTAAGGTATACATAACATAAAATTTGCCTTCTTGACCATTTTTAAGTGTATAGTTCAGTGGTATTAAACATATTCAAAATGTTGGGCAATTATCACCATAACTTTTTTTATCTTGTAAAACTGAAACTCTGTACCCATTAAACAATAACTCCCCATTACCCGATGCCCGGCCCCTGGCAGCCACCATTCCACGTTCTGTGTCTATGATTTTGACTATTCTAACTACTTCATATAAGTGGAATCATACAGTATTTGTCTTTTTGTGACTGGTTTATTTCACTTAGCATAAAGTTCTCCAGTTTCATCCATGTTGTTGCATATGCCAGAGTTTCCTTACTTTTTAGGCTGAATACTATTCCATTGTATTTATATACTACATTTTTCTTATCCATTCATTCACTGATGGACACTTGAGCTGCTTCCACATTTTAGCTATTGTGAATAATGCTGTTATGAACAGGGGTGTACAAATATCTCTTCTAGACTCTGCTTTCAATTATTTGGGGTAATCTATTTTAAAGAGAATTTAAAATACGGTAATTCTATTTTAAATTTTCTGAGGAACCACCACACTGCTTTCTTTTTCTTTTGTTTTTATTGAAACATAGTCAATAGTACATATCTGTGGGGTACAGCATCGAATACCTGTATGCAATACCTGTATGCAATATGTGATGCTCAAATCAGGATAATTAGTATATTCAACATTATATAATGCAATCATCTTTGTGGCCCTTTACCAGTTCCTCCTTTACCCCCTCCCTTTTACCCACCTCTAGTGGCCTCAGTTCTGCTCTCTCCTTTTGAAAGTTCAATGAATTACTGTGATTGATGTATCTTTTTTTTATGTATTTTATTTTATTTTAGCTCCCACTTATGAGTGAGGAGATGCAGTATTTCCTTTCTCTGCCTGATTTATTTCATTTAACATAATTTTCTCTAAGTTAATCCATGTTGCTGCAAATGGCAGCATTTCATTCTTTTTTATGGCAGAGCAATATTCCATTGTGTATATATACCACATTTTCCTTATCCAGTCATCCATCAATGGATATTTAAGTTGGTTCCAACTCTTACTTATTGTAAATAGAACTGCAATAAACATGGCAGTGCAGGTATCCCTTCAACATGATGATTTCCATTCCTTTGGGTATACACCCAGCAATAGCATTGCTGGATTGTATGGTAGTTCTATCTGTAGTTGTTTGAGAAACCTTCAGACAGTTTTCCATAATGGCTACACTAATTTACAGTCCCACCACTAATTTACAGTCTCTGTTCCCCACAACCTGGCCAGCATTTGTTATTCTCTGTCTTTTGGATAATGGCCAGTCTAACTGGCATAATATGATATCTCAATGTGGTTTTGATTTGCATTTCCCTGATGATTAGTGAAGTTGAGGATTTTTTCATGTGTCTGTTGGCCACCTGTATGTCTTCCTTTTGGAAATGGCTATTAGGCTCCTTTTCCCATTTTTTAACAGAGCTACTTGATTTTTTTACTGTTAAGTTGTTTGAGTTCCTTGTATATTCTAGGTATTAATCCCTTGTTGGATGCGTACTTGCAAATATTTTCTCCAATTCTGTAGGTTGCCTTTCTGCTCTGTTAACCATTTCTCTTGCTGCACAGAAGCTTTTTAGTTTGATATAATCCTGTTTATTTTTCTTTTGCTGCCTGTGCTGTTGGAGTCTTATTCATAAAGTCTTTGCCCAGTCATACTTCCTGATGTGCTTCCCCATGCTTTCTTTTAGGAGTTTTATAGTTTTGGGTCTTATATATAAGTCTTTAATCCATTTTGAGTTGATTTTGGTATGTGGCAAGTTTCATTCTGCTACGTATTGATGTCCAGTTTTCCCAGCACCTTTTATTGAAGAGGCAGTCCTTTCCCCCAATGTTTGTTTTTGTGGCCTTTGTCAAATATCAGTTGGCTGTAAGCATATGGGTTGATTTCTGTGTTCTCTATTCTGTTCCATTGGTCCAAATGTCTGTTTTTATGCCAGTTTTATGCTATTTTTTTATGCTGTTTTAGTTACTATAGTTTTATAGAATAATTTAAAGTCAGGTGGTATAATGCCTCCAGCTTTACTTTATTTATTTACTTATTTTTCTCAGGATTGCTTTGGCTATTTGGGGTCTTTTGTTGTTCCATATGAATGTTAGGATTGTTTTTCTGTTTCTGTGAAGAATGCATTGTGTTCAATGCAATCTGTCAAAATACCCATGTACTGTTTTCTATAGTGGTTATACCACTTTACATTTCCACCAGCAGTGTACAAGGTTTCTAATTTCTCCACATCCTCACCAACACTTGTTATTTTTCTGTGTGTGTGTGTTTTAAATATAGTAGCCATACTGAATAGTGTGAGGTGGTATCTCATTGTAGTTTTGATTTGCATTTCTCTAATGATTAGTGATGTCAAACATCTTTTAATGTGCTTATTTGCCACTTGTATATCTTTTGGACAAATGTCTGTTCAAGTCATTTGACCATTTTTGAGTCAGGATGTTTGTTGTTATGATTTTGCTGAATTTTATTAATCTGTTATGTATTCTGGATACCAATCCCTATTAGATATACAATTTGAAAATATTTTCTCCCATTCTGTGGGTTGCCTTTTTACTCTGTCAATACTGTTTCTTGATGCATAAAATTTTAAAATTTTTATGAAGTTCAATTTGCCTATCTTTCTTTTATTTCCTGTAATTTTGGAGTTATAACCAGGTAATTACTGACAAATATGATGTTGTGAAAATTTTCCCCTATGTTTTCATATAAGAGTTTTATAGTTTTAGGTCTTGCATTTATGTCTTTGATGCATTTTGAGTTAATTTTTGTATGTGGTATTAGGTAAGGGTTCAACCTCATTCTTTTGTATGTGGATATACAGTTTTCCCAGCATGATTTGTTCGAAAGACCATCCTTTCCTAATGAATGGCCTTGGAGTCCTTGTCAAAAATTATTTGACTGTATATGTAAAGGTTTAGTTCTGGACTTTCCTTTCTATTCCATTGGTCTGATGTTTCTATTAATGCCAGGATCACATTGTTTTGATCACTGTAGATCTGTAGTAAGTTTTGAAATCAGGAAGTGTAAGTCCTCCAGCTTTCTTGTTCTTTTTCAAGATTATTTTGGCTACTCAGGCTCCCTTGAGATTCCATGTGAATTTTAAGATGGGCCGTTCTATTTCTGCAAAAAACATCTTTGGGATTTTGGTAGTGACTTCATTGAAGCTGTAAATTGCTTTGGGTAGTATTGACATTTTAACAATATTAAGCCTTCTAATCCTTGACCATGAGATGTGTTTCCAATTGTTTATGCCTTCATTAATTTTTTTCAGTGGTGTTTTATAGTTTTTATTGTACAAGTCCTTCCCTTCTTTGGTTAAGTTAATTCCTAAGTGTTTTATTCTTTTTGATGCTATTGTAAATAAAATTATTTTTGTAATTGCTTTTTCAGATTTTTCATTGTTAGCGTATGGAAATGTAACTGATTTTTGTGTGTTGACCTTGTATCCTGCTACTTTGCTGAATTCTTTTATTAGTTCTATGAATTTTTTGTGGAATCTTTAGGATTTTCTATACACATCACCATATTATCTGCAAATAGACATAATTTTACTTCTTCCTTTTCAGTTGGAATCTTTTTTATTTCTTTTTTTTTTGCCTAATTGCTCTGTCCAAAACTTCCAGGACTGTGTTGAATAGAAGTGGTGAAAGTGGGCATCCTTGCCTTGCTTCTGATCTTAGAGGAAAAGTTTTCAGTCTTTCACCATTGAATGTAATGTTCTCCATGGGTTTTCGTATATAGCTTTTATTATGTTGAGGTAGTTTCCTTCTATTCCTAGTTTGTGGAGTGTTTTTTTAATCATGAAATTGTGTTGAATTTGTCAAATTCTTTTTCTGCATCAGTGAGTGACCATGTGGATTTTTTCATTCATTCTGTTAATGTGGTGTATTACATTGATTGATTTTATATGTTGAAACACCCTGCATTCTAGAAATAAATTCCACTTGGTCATGATGAGTAATCCTGTTAATATGCTGCTGAATTCAGTTTGCTAGTATTTTGTCAAGGATTTTTGCATCAGTGTAATAAGAGATATTGGTCTGTAGTTTTCTTTTCTTGTAGTGTCTCTGCCTGGGTTGGTAACACTTTCTACCTTCTTCAAATTTTTGAAACTTTTGAGAAGGATCGTTGGTAGTCTTCTTCAAATATTTAGTAGAATTCACCAATGAAGCCACCAGGTACAGGGCCTTTCTCTTTTGGGATATAT